ATTAGATTAATTTATAAAGCATAGCAAAGAAATGAGTTCATTTGTCTTATTTATTGTGCACGGACGAAAATTAAAGTCAGTTATCACTTCCGAATTCTTTCAAAGTTTAAATTGCGATTATGAGGGAAGGTGTGTTATAACAAACTTCCATTCATAGTAGTTATCGCTTGCAGCAAAATGCTTTAGAAACCTGATTAAAATGTACAAAATAAACTTTACTCTTCTTCTCCGCCTCCAACCAGCTCCCTGATAATAGATCTAGCGGACTGGTTAGCTGGGAATAGGTCCATTTTGGTGCTTTTCCTTGGCAAAGACTTTCGATCTTTTGTGGTAACATTCTTTCGTAGGCTTAACACTCTAGTCTTGAGCTACCTTCTCTAGATTTAAATTTATAATTTAGATTACTTACAATCATAAGTCTTCTGGAGATCATTAAACCAAACTGACTTTTTTTCGAGAAGAAAGAGGGCTTGCACATTTCTTGGATTTTCTCGCTAAAGCTCTTTTCAAAGTCCTACAAAAAGAGTTTTTCCCTGTTTCAAGTAGCTGTGAATGTTTTAGAATGCAGCGAGGACACTGAGCAAAAGAAAGAAAGTTCTACCATGCGAAAAACTTTTTCTAATTAATTGAAAAAAGAATATTTTCTATCATGTAACTTTGTAACCTCTAAACATTTCGAAACTTGAATCATCTATTTATTTGAATGGGTGAGCGGTCGTATCATAATCGAAAATAAAGAAAATTGGATCATTTGAGTGAGCAGTCTTTCCGACAAAAATTAATGAATTTTTTTGAATTCGCGAACGCGATGTGTTGTAGCACCGCTTATGTAGACTAATTCTATCTTATTCGTGGACAACTTCCATTTTGCGGATGCTCTTGGGGTCTCGGCAGTGGCGTCCGTTACATTTACTACATAGTGATATTTTTGACTAAATTAAATACACCATTCGGGCAGAAAATTCTCCCGAAGGCTACTCGAAAACCATCAAATATTTTAAACCTTGGTTCCGAGTTCTCGAATATGTTTACAAAAGATAATCTGCATATTTTATTTGCACTTAGAGAAATCTATTCAAAGATGCAATATATTGTATAGAGATTGAAGGCATGTCTGCGAAGCCAAACCTTTGTAATATACAAATTAGTTTGTATGAAATTGCTTTCTCTAACTAATGAGATGTATTCTAAGCAAAGTTGTTGCAATCACATTTATTGTATTGTTATTTTCCGTACCTTCAATTTATAGAAATTGTAAGGCGGGTCCCCTATGTTGCCAATAAAGTTACACTGCGTGCCATGTACTCTAATGCTCATGATCAAAGCCAATCGCTCGTCCTCGCAGATTTGCAAGGGAATGAAATCTCTTGTTTGCGGTCGGTCTACTTGTTTCTTCCAAAAAATTATGGCAGCAATGTAAGGAAGTGAAGCCGCCTCATAAAGGAAGATTGAAGTGGCATAGAAGTACCCAGCTTTGGTATTGTGTAGTATTGTTGGATATTCAGGAAGGAAATGTAGGTATGCTAAATAGTTAACAAAATGCGTAACACAGACATAAATGGACCGTGATATAGTTTGATGCTGCATGACTCTTTACTAATAAAGGCACATTTAACATTGTTATTGTTTCTTAATATGCTTTTAATTAGCGCTGCTCAAGGTTTTTGACAATTAAAAACCATTAATTTGCGTATTTTTTGCAGTGTGTTGGAACAGAGAAGTTGGAAAACG